ATAAAGAGAACCATTAAAGTGAGCCTTTGTTTAAAATGATGTAAATCCAACTGCACAGGTTAACTTGTCTGTGCTTTAATTTTTTGTCTGTTTTTTTGTTTTTTTTTTTTTGAGCCTGTAATTAAAGCACCAGTGGAGATCATATTAGACCAGGTGGAAACCAAGATCGGGAATAAGTAGGGTAACTGCTCAAAGGTCTGTTCCATTGTTTCACACAATTCAGCAAACCCAAGCTGATGCAAATTGCCTTGACCAACACAGTCTATTATTTTGAACTCAAACACGAACAACCACAGTTTGGGCTTAGGGTGGGGTGGAGAAAGTCACTGCAACTTCTGAAGACTTGTGTCCCCAAGCTAAACTGATTAATTGTTATCAAGAGTGGAAAAAAGCATGTGTGTTGCAAGACCATTTCAGGAGCCCTGATTTTGCTAAATTACTAGCATTCCACTTAAGGGAGTGAAAGCTCCTATTGTGATACCAGATACATTTTTGCATAGTTACTGCAAAAGTTCATCATCTTTATGCTAAAAGGCATGCACTGAAAGAAGACCAACCCATGCAGTGATGACAAAATAAAACAGAATTTGCAGAAGACAAATAAAATTATTAATCTGCCCATGCAGAGATAGGGAAAACTGAAGTGGTATAAAATAAACACAGTAACAGACAATAACAAAGGAGCAGGCTCTTTTGAAAAAAACACCAAAACACATAATATAAGACACCTTGAGAAAATGCTGTTTATCCCCTCATATTTACTTATCCTCTCTTTATATTCTATATACCTAGTGTTTGCTTTTAGAGGCAGGGAAAGCTGCTTACTCTGAAGTGCTGTCTATGTTTAAGATGCTATGTAAAAATAAAGACCAGAGAGAATGGGTTTTACCAGGTGGTCCTGCACACCGTGGGCTAACCTCAGTGTTGTTAACACTATGTGAATAGTGAGGGTTGTCACTGAGAAGATACAAAGCCAAATCTGAAGTCTCTAACTCACCTGAACAATGCAAAAAAATCCTCTGGCATTTCCTGGCATGTCCTGCTGTGATTATATAATGAGGCAATGGTCACATTTATAAATAAAAACTTAAAAACAATAGAGCAAGCACGTGACTTCCTTTGTTTCCCACGAATTCTGCAATGAACTTGGGATTTCCAACCTTGGAACAGCCACAGAAAGATCCAACAGCTGAAAATCAAGAGTGTGAAAATCAGGGATAACCATTCTCATCTTTCCCATTACGGATTCTTTCAGACCTGTTATTCCTTTTACAGCCCACCTTACTGAAGTGGTATCTACCCTGGCCTGTGTGGTACAGAAAATCCACCTCCAGGACACCAATAATGAGCACAGCAGAGAATTGCCCCACAGTATAAAAAAAAAATAGGACAGTCTAAGGTGACAGAGTCAGTTTAGAAATGGACCAGTAAGCCGTGGTGACCCAGCTAGCTTGTAATGTGTGCATTTCGCAGGGATAGGAGAAGGCAACATCATCAGAGTTTCAATCTAAACTCTGTCACATCGAGAAAGACACAAGATTTCGTATACTGAATTAGACTATGCAGAAGCAGTCTCTTGTTACTGTTGTGCTGTCCTGTGTGGGAGCAGACCCCGGGTTCTAACACTTCCCTCTTACACTGTAAGTCAGTGATTTATTCTGTACACTTGCTTAGTAGCATGTCCTCTCAGTATTCAGGCTCAACTCAGTCACCAGGCTGCAGTCCTTCAGGTGATTCCAAGCAACTTTCGCAAAATTTGCAAAAGAAAATAATCTTCAAGCCTATTTACTGGCATCCACAAGCTTATACACTGGAAAATCTGGATACATGCAGCTGACCAGAAATTTTGTCTGTATACCTAAAGTTATGACTCCAAAGGATCCTCTTGTTTCCAGCTTTGAACACCTTTGCACCTAAACAGACCCTCCTGCCACAGCAGGGCACTGAACACATACTGATAAACAGACCCAAGTCTCAGATGGGTGCTGAAGGACGTGTAAGAGCAAACAGATAGACTGTTCTGCACTTTACAAAACAGGTTCAGAAAAGAAATTGCTACTGCTAGCTAATGGCCAAAATTACCATATGAGGGACTGTCAAGAAAATTAGGGAAGGAGGAAACCTGTAGAGTTAGCATGAATATTTCAAAAGATGCATTAGTGAAAAATGCAACTGTAATATATGCACAAATGTAACAGCCACCTTTTAGTATGAAAAAAGGTCTTTTAATTCATTAGAAGGTTCTTCTGCATGGCAAATTGTAAAAATAAACACAAGTGTATGTATCATAAGATTATTTACAGAATTCCATACACAAGAAAAATGTTTCCACTTCACCACACTTCTGAAGCACTCTTAATTATTGGTGGCAAGGGATGAAAAAGAAAAAGCCTGACTCAGTTTGCATGACTGACAATTAGAAAAAAGGCTTTTGGTCAGTTGAGCAAATATATTTGGAGTCACTGACACATAAATGTGAAATCTCCCAGGGAGAAGAGGAGTTACTTTTCAAAATAAAGTCATGCTTTGAATTCTGGGAGAAGCAAAAGGTAGACAATGGATCTTCTAAATCAAATATATTCTAAAAACCTACTGAGTGTTACTACATCATCAGCCTATTGCAATTAGAAGATGCAATCTCTGCTTGCACAAAACAGGTGACAGGTATGGACCTGTGCACCTGCAAGCCTGCATTTAAAGCCTGTCCACTGAGAGTGCACCACTGGTAGAAAGCTCCCATTGGAAAGAACTGCCATAAAACAACACACAGCTTTCAGCAAATCTCGTATCTCATGTCACAAAGGGTTGATCCCACCAAATACTGGTAATTGAGATCTATTCTCCAAAGGACAGCTACTCTCTAAGGTTGTCTTTGTGATTCAGCAACACATGAATGTGAGGTCTGGTTTCTGCCAGAGCTTCTCTGTGACCTCAAAGGGACATGACGTCGTCTTACTGATTCTTTAAATCAGCGTACAAGAGAGGAGGATGATTTATGAGGAAGTGAAACCCAGTACTAGTCCTTTTGGCTTCCTAATTTAATAGCAAATTGAGCCTAACAGCACTGATGTCGCAATCCTTACAGCACAAATTACTCATCAGAGCAAACAGCAGTCATCCTGTGTTTGTACAGGAGCTAGTGCTTCCTCCCACTAGTACGAGGAAGTGAAAAGCACCCCACTGAAGAATTTTGAGCAATGAGTCAAACATTAGATATAGTGAAGAGAACATGCAGAAACCCCTACGAGAGCAGCAGAAGAGAGGCCACTGAGATCCCAACTCTCCCACCAAATGTGACACCTCCAGGGCAGGGATGCGTGCTTATTTGGTTGAGTAGTCAATCCATTAGGAATCACTTATAAGATATCTTATGACTAACAGCTAGATATGTTTGCTGTACATGCACATTAAATATAGTAAAAGAGTTTTAGTCTTTGTCTCTGTCTCTACAGCTGTTAATGGTCCTATTATAAAACAACTGCCCATTGTAAAAAATCCCCTCTGTCAGCTCATACCAGAATGAGATTCTGCCACTGCTGTGCTTCACTTGCACAGAGACCTTCACAGTAAGACACTGGGGAAGAGACCCGTGGGGACAGAGTATTTCCCCAAGACACTGCTGAAACCCGAAACAGATGAGGGCTGTGATATTTCTTGCCCGTCGTTACGAGGTTAACCTTTCACCTGCAGGACTCGCTGCTTCCATTTGCCCAACCTGTGACAAGCTGGAAATGAAATCACTTTGACAGCTATAAAAGGTCACTTGTAGAAACAACGTATTTGTTTCAGTTCAGTACCTTACCTACAGCATCTGCTATTCACTGCCATATTAGTGCATCCACAAAGAAAAAATCAGATTCCTCATTGCAGTGGAACACCGACGATACCGAGGAGGAAGATGCTAAACCCAGGAGCCCACACCTTACCACAGCACTTGTGAAACCAAATCCTCTGGCTGCACGAACAGAATCTGGAGATGACTTTACAAAACTCCCAGGGATGCATTCAGGACATCTGAAATGAGGGAAGGCAGGCTGAAGATGACCTTCCAAGTGCTGTCTGCAAGCATTTGCAAGTAAAGGGAACCTTATAGTGCTGTGAATGGTACAATCAGGAATTAACATATGGCAAACTCTGTTACTGGCAGTGATTCATCAACCTCTCACTTGCAGAAAACCTGACCTCCCCTCTATCTGTAAGACCTTGCAGAACACTTATGTCAAGATTTACTGGGTTTTGTCACGCTTGACGAGGACATGGTGGTAAGTATGATGTGTTTAGGTGCATCAGTCTCCCTACTGATCTTAACACAGATGAAAGTGCCAGGGAGAAGCAGTCCTCAGAGAATTAAGATCTGTCGGTAACTGGCTGTTACTCGAAATACATGGTTGACTTTTCACTATCAGGATTTTTCTCCCACACACAGCAACAAATGTAAATTATTTGGCACATCCCCAAACTAACAATTTCTCATGTCAACCAAACCTCATACGTCACTACAATAAACTTAAAGATTTTCTGTTATTCTTACACACATATTTATGAAAATACTTGCACACATTTCAGCAATGTGAAATCTTTGTAAAGTTAAATGGATTTTATGACTAAACTGAGAAAGGTTAATAACTTCCCAAAGGGAAAAGCCATCAGCAAGTCAGGCTTGTGGTCCCAAATGTGCAGGCCTTAACAGTGATGCAGATGTCTTTCCCACAGAAATACACTTGTATATTAAAAAAGAAAAAACATCCCATGATCTACAGTCCAGGGTCTTTATAGGACTTTGTGTTACAACTCTAGCACATGGCAATGAATCAAAAATTCTCAGCTATAGTAGTTTAAAGGATGTTCCAATTGCCCTCCTTACCACTGACCTTTTGCTAGCACTGAGTGCTGACCTCAGCTAGGGCTGAATAATCCCTTGCCACAGAAAATGGCTGTCGCAAAGCCAAAGAATATTTGAGATACCTGATGTAACAAAAAGATAACCAATGGCACATGTATTCTTTCCAGGCATGGTTTATTGAAAACACACCAAATTGTTATCCTACATACCTGGTTTCTAACAAGCATTCTACTTGTCTGCATTATGGAAAGATCCTATAATAAGAATACATTCTGTCACGGTCACATTTGTTCTATGAAAAGCATAATCCACCATTTTTTTTCCTCTCCATACTTGTAAAATCAAACCATTCTAAGTGTTTCAGTTTATAGTACAGTGTAAATACAATGCAAAATCCCACCAGTCTAAACTACAGAGAGAATGTTGAGCAGTATTACAGAAAACACATTGTTGATTTTTTTTTTTATTCTCCTACCATGAAAATTTTAAGGCACATGATAGTTACAAACACATTAGCTACTAATTACCAGTAAGCTTCTTAGTCTAGTTTTTTTTTTTCTGAACAGTAAGAACCAGATTGGCAGGCCTTGTAGTATCTGTGCCACCTTCCTCCTCACCTTGGACTTCACATCCTACCCTGATGTAAAACTTAAGACAGGAAAAAAAAGGTTCGTAATACCTTCCCCTTAAATGCACTAGATTAGTTACTGTACCAATAAATCAGAGAATTTCTCTGTCAAAAATAAGGAAATACCAGATTTTAGGGGCATAAAAACAAATTTTGCAAGAAACTATGCCTATATAAACACCTTCAAAAACTGTGAGAGCACGACTCTACCCCAACAGCACAAAAATGCTGGCTGAAATTATTGGCACTCTAGTTTTCACTGAGTGGGCAGCTGGACAGCAGAAGAGGCTACAACCACTCTCGTGTGCCCATTTGCTCCTGAAGCTTTGCTCAGTCAAAGGGTCTCTCACAGGTAGCTGAGCCTATATACTCAACTTTAAGGCAAGTAACAGAAGGTAACTCACCACCTTCAATCTCATGGAACTACTCTAGGAGCAAAAACTGCTTTGCCTAGCATAAGGCTCGCATGCTACAAAGCATTACTGAAAACTCCTCCTCAGAGTTGGCAAGAACTTACCTGCTGTAACAAACATGGCCACCCCCCCTTTCTTGATGTGTCACAGAGAAAGTCCATTCCTAGTCCAAGTCAGGCCCTTTTGTGATGTCTCGGCAACAGAGACGAGATTTGCTTTCCCGATACGGACGCATTCAGAATCGGCAGTTCTGAGTGCACAAGAGCAGAACTAGGATAGGCAGGTGTTTTGCCCCAAAGACACTGAAGATCAGGACCTATGGCTGCCCAAGCTATTCTCTGGGGAACCTTTCAAGCTGGCAACACATCTTGAGTTGTCAAGTTACACTTATGGCTAAATTGCTATTCAGCTCCAAGACAGAAACAAAATGTCCTAAAGCCTTGCCTTTCCACTCTCCTCCTGGATTCTGCAGACTGACCGACCAACCTGGGAGCTGTAAGCACAAGTACAATTGCTCACACTCAACCACAAAGCTTGATGCTTCTCCAGGGGAGTCTTAACACACAATGCTTGTTTTTGTTTTAAAACCTCCACAGCTTAGTGAAGATGCTTGGGAGATGTGCAAGCCACCTCCCTGGGAAGAAAGTTCTGCAGTAATTACATGCCATCAGAAGTCTCCCTCTCCCCTATATTATCTCAGCCCTCTCTGGGCCATCAAATTTCCTCCTCCTCTGTAGCAGGAGTCTTGCAACACCATCGCTTCCCTTCACAACCATCCCTCCCACTAGAATTTCTGCAGGTAGAAATCTCTTCTACCCCAGCCCTTTGCAGGCAGATTCCCTCCAGTTTTCACAGTGGAGCCAACAGGAAAAGAGGAGGTCACACACCTGAGCCCTAAAAAGCACTGCCTGCCTTTTAGCAGGAGACTCCAGACCCTACTGCAGCTTTAGTCACACACACTGCCGCTTTCCCTTCTTTACATACAGTCCCTGCTGCCAAAAATACAACAATTACGGGTTCATCCACCCACATCCCAGAACAGCTCAAACAGCCAGTCACGCTTGTGCCAACAAGGGGAGAGGTAAGGGCAGGTGTGGGCATGCATCCCACCAGCGAGCTTGCGGCCGGAGATAAAAAGGATGTTAAACCACCAGACCTGGTTCAAAGTTCAAAGCTTTGGGCTTCAGCTGGTGGGCTGGTAATACAAGGCTGTAAGTCCCATGTGCAAGTCACCCCCCAATCCATTTTCCTTCCTCAACATCCAAATGACAAATTTGTTGAGAAGAAAAAAACCCCGCAGTAATGTAATGATGGGTTATTGCTACATACTTGGGATTTAGTCATTATTATAAGGCATGGGAAGGGCAGGGTAAGATGTGTGATTCCCAGGGGAAGTCTTGGCCCATGGACTTGGTATTTGACTTCTTGATACACCATCCTTTGCTTTTCTGCAGCAATAAACCAAAGGGTGAGCTCACAACTACGCTGGCTGCCATGAACACTTGCCCCCTGAAAAAAAAACAGTTTGCTACGATGACCCAGGGCAGCCAGTGCCATCTAACCTGACAGGGAGGTTTGCTTATCATAGTATGCAGCGTAAATACAGAAAGGATTTTTGGGGAAATGTGGGATAAGGTCTGAATTTGCTTCTCAAATACTCCTCAGTGGTTTTAGCCCACTAATGACAGAGACCAAAGTAGATTCCAATCCGGATTTTAAGTGTCCCTGTAGTGCCCCCACTGAGAGCCACGGGATATGTGGGGTAGGTGGTCATGGACATAATTGTCCCCTAGTCACTTCCCCCTTCCTGCAGTCTTCTCTGTAACCTCTTGCTGGCTTTAAAGTATATCTGTACAATAACTAAATCACAAAGTCTTAGCAGAGACTCCTTTCAGCAGTCAGCTCTTTATTTTAAGTGAACTTTTGCTCAGACTCCTTTGGTAAATATATGGTTTGAAGTAGATCAGGGACAGACTGACAGCACGGCCCTTCTCTTACACTGTTCTAATCAGCTACAAAGCAGGTTCCATTGCTAATTACTGTACGTTTTTAAAAAAATCCTTTCATATACAAAAAGAATACACCAAGTACATAACCAAAAGTGATATAAAACTCTTCTGTGTAGCTTGGTTAAAAGGGTCTCCGCATATTGGCAGAACAAGTATGAAAAGAGCACCATTGATATAATATACAGTCAGACTATGTATCTGGTTTCATTGCCACACTTTATGTCTACACATAGAGAGACACTGCCCCGACACAGATAATCACAGATGTGTATCTTTGCTTCCCTCGATCTGCTGAGCATCTTTGGCCCAATAGGACTCTCATACAGGTGAAAAACCAAATCTTTGCTATCTTAATTTGCTCCAAGCAGCTTCACCTTCCCCAGGATCCAGAAGTGACCACTGCAACGTATGTGGAAGATGAGGGTCAAAAAGGGAGGGTGCGAAGGAGCACATGTATCATCCAAATCACTGACAGCTTCTGGCATCAGTCTTTTTCCCTGAATCAACAAATGCTTCCCTCTCCTGCAAACTATTTAAATGGTTTTGTTAACCTATCCTCTGCACAACAATATATATATATAGATATATAGACTTTTTAATTTATTTATATATATGTATTCATGTCAAATTTTTAATATACTCAAGAAGATACAAAGCTCTTGGTACTTGCTTTTTTTTTTTTAAAGTTTTTTAGATTTTTTTTTTTTTTTTTACAAAAATTTTAGATGTTTACTATTACAGTAATATTTTGGGGGAGGTGAGGTTGTTGGATATTTCCCCTTTTTAATTACAAAGGAAACGGCAGGCACTGAAAACCGCAAATGATGTTTGCTAGATTCAAAAATGTGCTTTCCAGTCACACTGTTTTTAGGAGCTTGTTTAAAACTAAATGTGGCAATCAAAGAACAGTGGCAACCAAATAAAATCAGCAAAAGTCCTCTGATGCTACTAGCGAGACATTTGCTTCCTGTTCTCATCTGCTGCCCTCCCTTGACCAACGCCTGGAGAAAATCAGTGATCTGAAGTCATTTAGTTCACGGCATTACCAGATACCATATATGCAGAGTACGATCTTGTGAGATAAAATTTCCCCCTTACATAAAGCAGGCCTTGGTATCTTAGAGGAGAACTGTTGCACATGGGTGATTTTCACACCAAACGAAGTATGTAATCTTAAAACAAAACCAAAGGAACACAGAAATCATGACGATGATTTAAAAAACGCCAAACCAGTTCCCTTTGTGGCATTTTTCATCAGGATCTATAGTCCAAAGCAAACATGGATTTAACAGTGATAAATTTACCATCAAATATAAGTGACAGACCCATCTAGAATTTATAGCATGTTCAAAATAAGACATCCTACGAAAAAGCTCCTATTTTCTTCCAATGTGTTAGCAGCTATGGCAAAAGAAATTGTTAATCGTTATCAATGCAACACCGGTACATTTAAAATGTAAAAGCTCCTTATTGCAATCTTGGAGAACAAGAAAACAAAAAACCAGCCAACTCGATTTCTCAGCATAGATTTCTGAACCAGGGACACTGAAACCTTCAATAAACTACTTTTCAATATGTGGAAATAAAAACAGAGCCATTACAGAATTCAAAAGGCAGAAGTACTGTACACCAGATTATAATGATAATATAGCACTGTGATTGATATAGCTTACTCTAAAAGCAGATTATACAGCTTGCATCAATTTTGTCATCCACTCTCCAGTTCATTTGACTAGCGTTTAATAGTTTTTGTTCTGCATTTTCTCCCTTCATTGAAATCCAATAAACCCACTCAACATTCCTGCACTTTCTGTGGAAACAATAAAAAAACCAAAACATTTTTCAAAAAGCCTTTAAAAATGTTAGATTCACAGTTCAAAAGAAATCCCCCAAAACAAAAAACAAAACAATGAGCCCCAAACCAGAAAAGTGCTATTATCTTCATGGCTACACCTATGGTGTTATTTCAAATATTCTGCAGTTTCTCTTCCTTTCAGTTGTGAAGCTGTCGTCCTTGCTGTCGCATGACCTTCACTTCTCATACTTGGCACCATCCACACGCAAGAGTCACCTAAGAACGCAGCCAGCTAGATGGAAGCTTGAATTCTCTTTTCTTCCTTGCTTGCTTTCTTCTTGCAGGAGTGGGAGGGAGGGGGAGGTGGTGGCTATTTCTGGTGGGAATGTAACTGAGTTAAAAAGCAAACTGTCTCGCTGTAAGGCATGGTGCTCCGGGGTTGGCAATGGCAGTCACTTGTGTTTTCTCCCCACATCCTCCTAGAATCTGCAGCCTGGTCAGTGATGCAGTGCCCTCCAAATCTGAATGGCAGTGGTGACTGATGAGATCCTCTGTGTCGATTCAATGTTTGTTTCTCCCCCTCAATTAAAAAAAATGTGGTTGGATTCTAGCCCTGCAAAATAAAGTCAAAACTGATTAATACCAGCAAGTTACATGACCTTGGTGATCTCCATCACCCAGTGGCAGGACAGTGTCTGGAAACACCAACCTATCCCCAATGTATGTGTTCCTTGAAGGGTACATCTGAGAGAAAATGAGCATAGACTTAATTTTCCAAGCTCTGTACCCCACCTGTAAGCTTTCACAGCTCAGGAGAAGAGTGTAGGAGTGAAGCATACAGGCACTACACACAGACATTTATTCTGCCCTTTGGCTGAGCCCACAGGGCTGACCACACCGTGCTGACCAGCTGTGGGAAGCCAGCGGTGCCAGAGTCTGCTCCGTCGCTGCACAGGAGTACCTGAGACTGCTCTGGGCAGGTGCTTCCAACCCAGCAACAAACAGTCTGGAAACGCTTAGCACTAATACTGGACTCTTAAAAGAAGGAGGAGAAAAAAAATCCAACATCACCACCCAAAAACATACAGGAGTTTTCTCTCCCACTAATGGAACTGGTTTTCTTGTAGTTATGGAGGTGGATGATGCCCCATGTTTTGGAATTTGGGCCTTTAAAGGCCTGTTGTCCACTCTGATGGTGAAGTTGCCCAGTGCCTTCACAACAGTCACTGAGATTTCTCCTTTAGTCACAGCCAGGGGCACAAAACCTGCTGTTCCAAACGTAGTATCACATCTGATGGAGTGCCAGAAGGTATAACTGGGGTAGAGGGCTGTCTAGCAACACAGCAGGAGACAGATTAACAGTGGCAGGAGTGAAGAAAGGCCAGTGACATTACTGAGGAACTTGGCACGTGGCAAAGGCAGAGAACTAGAAAGCGACAAAAAGGCACCTTTCTTTAGCAACAGGAAAAAAAAAAAGGAATTGAAAAGTGGAAGTTTTGGGTCAAGATTTATTGTGTAACCAAAATCATCTCTCCTTGCAAAGTAACTTGTGTACAGCCAGCAGTTTTCCTGCAGATGGGCAGGGCTGCGTAACCCATGGGAACCTCAGGGGACATCCATAAATAGTCAAGGATATGCTTTTCCTTAAGTCTCAGGCTAATCCTTATAATGAGCACAGAGGGAAAAAAATGGTTGGAAGCAGGAACACACTATTCAAATTCATTCACATGGCCTAACAGCAGAAATCTTTCACATTTCAGCTGACAACTAATCATTCACAATATTAATTTTCTGCCTGGTTATTTGACAGGTTATTTTTTAATCAAACAGTGATGTTTAATTGCATTTCATTAAAGATACACTGAAAAATACAAACACCACTTTTTTTTTTTTTCCAAGTGCATTTTCATTTGTTTGAAAGGACTCAGTTAGCAGTTAGCCTTGAAGAGATTCCACAGTGATACAGATCATGCACGAGACACGTTAATCACTAGCACCAATTACCATTAAAAGGACCTACCATGCATGCAAATTAGACCCAGGAGTCAACAGGCTGGGGTTTAATGTCACGGGCATCCACCAGATTCACCGAAGCCCTGTTACTCCTGTTAATGTTTTTCCTATTTGTGTCATTCTGCAGCACAGGGTGAGGAGTTAAAGGCAAAACAGAGCGGATTAATCAAACAAAACCACCAAACAAGTCAGCTTAAAGGAGCACAAGGGAAAATTAGTGGTAGAGAAAGAAACAAGATCAGCAAAGGCACAATACTGACAAAAGCATCTGCAACAGCCAAAAGGCTGCACTTCTCTGCCATCATTATTCACAATTCTCGGCCGCTCTTGAGCCTCAGAGCCACGGTTATCAAACAGTTCACAAGCCAGCAGACCCCACAGACACATTTCTATTCCACAGTACAGGGAGAAGGACAAGCAGCAGCTACTTGGCTCTGCCCAGCTGAGGGCACAGCAGCACGTACCTTTGATGTGCACAACAGGCTGAACTCAGGTTACCCTCTGCCCTTAAAACCAAGAGGCAGCACAGACTATGGGACACACGTTGTCTAGGTGAAATGTTTGTTCTCTCTTTCTCATGAAAGCAAAGCAGCTACTCACTGAGCTCTGGTTGTGCTTCACTTCAGACATACACTGGAGTTTGGGCTGCCTGATGTGATTTTGAGGGTTGCATTGGACCACTTTAATAAATGTTGAGTGGTGAAAATAAGTATTTTTTTAATTTTCCTGACTTAACCTATTTTCATTAGACATTTTCTGTCAAGCTCCTATCAATCATTCTTATGTCACTTACTGCATCCATTCCCACTGAACCCTTGTAAAATGTATTAGAACTGTGATGAGGGAACTATAAAGTTTATTTTGTTGACACAAGCAGAGCCATCTCTTGACAAACTGGAACGGGGGGCACATTGCATGACTTGAATAATCAGCTCAGATTTATGAGTTCCCAAAAACAAATGAAGAAGCACAATCACCTCTACCAAAAAGTCTAACTGAGCAGCCTGCAACAGGGTGCAGCTATACCCAGAACTGGCAAACTGAAGAGTGTCTGTGCTTGCAAGTCGTCCAGCTGATCTAAGCCATTCTCCAGGGTACCTTCACGAAAGGCAGGACACAGCACGAAATGCATGACCAGGCAACTTAATATAGGCAGACTGATGCAGCAGGACATATTCCTAATTCACGATCTGTAGAATTATTTTTCCTCCAAATCACATTTTAATTTCCTTTGTTCAGTAATAGTGGGTTTTCCTTTCAACTGACATAAGTTTATTGTTTCCACTGAACGTGAATCACCTGGATTTTCTGATATTATCAGCAATATACTGAAGGTCATCAGGGACAGCCTTCTGCAGATTAACAATAGTGTTTTCACCACAGACTCCTGTTTCTCTGAATCTTCCTCTTCCTCCCTTTCCTCCTCGAAATTACACCCCCAGGGGAAAACACAAGCTTGTTTTGAGGCCAGGGAGAACGGATGGCCACAGCATTAAGCAACTTTTAAAAAGGTCTACTTAAAGGGTGCAGCAATGCAGAACTACACCGAGCCTACTGAGCCACATTCATGCACAACCCACAACACAAAGAGCTTTTTGAAGTTGTTTGGGTGGGTTTTTTTGGTGTGGTTTATTTTGTTTGTTTGGTTGGTTTTTTTAAATGATAAAGCTGTCTAAGTGTGTTTTTAGAAGGCACACACGTAATTATGCATATGTCTCCCTTCCTCTCCATCTCCTCGGCTTATGCCCACAGTCCACTGTCAGGACTGAGTATTGGGGAAACAACCATGTTCACCACACAGACACACAAGCTCACATTACTTCTCATACTGAAAACAAAAAAGCAGTGTGACAGTCTGCAGTGATTATTCTCAAAACAAAGTCTGAGCACACTTACACACTTTAGGGCTAGGGAATGCTGCCTGGACAAGGGTGACAGAACAGACACTTTCTATTTTGCCAACCTCATCCATTTACAAGAATACAGTGATTGCCTGCATTTGCTCCTGCACTGGAAGGCAGCATTTTGTTTTTATTTCTAGTTAGCCAAGTACTAAGTTATGAAATGGTGCCTTTATCTAAAAAAAACCCTAACAAAACCAAAGCCCTTTACAGCCCCCTGGTGAGTATCTACATTTGCTGAGCACATCAGGCTTGCTTTCTTTTACAGGCACTAACTAGCATACAGCAGTTAAGAGGAAGCTCACTTTTAAAGGCTCTTTCTCCGAGGCATCCCCCGTGTTATCACCGGTCTTGTATTTGCGCTCCTTGTCCCGGTGATCGATGGTGGAGTACCCATCTGAGGAGAAATAACATGACAATCAGGCATGAAGCACAAATAAGAGCAAAACCAGAGCTGATGCAAGCAGAATTCTTCAGCAAAGAAACAGGAAAATACACCATCGCAACCCAAAGATGCTGGCTGTCTGCTTTTCACAAGTGCTCCAGCTCTGAATTTTCATTTTTACCAGCCTAAAACAAAACAGAAAAGCCTTCTTTTTTTATATCACTGCCAGATGCTGGCACTCATTAGCAAGCAGCACTGTTTTCATCCCAGCCTGCCACAGTTTTTAGTGTGCCCAAGAAAAGCAGCAAGTTTTCATCTTGTGCCCTGTGGCTAATGAGCTCCAAATTCAGCCTAAATCTTGTGTTCCTTGCTTAGCAGCCTGATTAATTGGCTGTGTTCATTCTCTGAATGCTCTGCAGCATGTTCCCGCTCTTCCTGAGCCTGACTACTAGCAGGACATGACAATAATTTGGAAGAGTCCCTTTCAGAGCCCTGAGAAAAAGGCCCTGTCGAGTTGGAAGGAATCTTGATGCAAACCCTGCTGTGCCTGGACTGTCTTTCATTGCAAACTAGCACCTGTTGGTGCTTTTTCTCCTGACAACTAAGAAGCAATATGAAAGCATGATGAACACAAGGAAGAAAAGTGTGAGAGTTTTATAAAGAAATGGCTCTAATTATTTCAGAACCTCTGCTTTGAATCACTGTCAGCCAATGCAAATCTTAATTTATTTTCCTGATGCATCAAATTTCCCTCATTATCAGTGACAAATAGATCCTCTCCTGCACTGCTCTGACAGCATTGTAATCTGGAGTAAATGACACTCAAATTTATAGCCCCCTGTAGGCTTTTGTCTTCTGCTATGTAATTGAGGGATCATTAATGTTTTCATGTCCTGACAAACTGGGTTCTTAGAATACCACAAAAAGGTTTTACATAAACTATCAAAATGCTCCCCTCTCGGTTCATCCCTTGCTTGCGACAGGTCATTAAGAAGAAGTCAGTCATGCTTTTTGCGGGGTTCCCATGGCATAAAGAGGCACTGTTTGCCCACATGACAAAAGCACACACAGCTGGAGTGACCTGCACCAAACACAGTCGCAGAGCAGCACCCTAAATGATGTTTATGTTGGTCACAGCCAGGGTAGTTTTAAAAGAGCTGCAGCTTTCCTGTGTATCTCGGGAATCGAAGTGCACACATACAGACCTGCAACGAGCACCTGAAGTAGCATATATTTATGACATCAGAAATGGTAACAGATTATTTAACTACGCTGCCTAAAAATAACTGAAGAATTTTGAGTTATACATATAGTACAGAGACCTTCAAGCATGAAAAAAATTGCTACACAGAGCTTAACTTACAATTCTTTGTTGACAATGAAGATGCCTAACATTCTTGGCTATCCTTTTTGAACAAAAAAGAAAAAAACTACAGTTTACCAGCTGCATCCATCTACCCAGCCAGCATTTGTGGAGGAACGCAAGACCAATAGTTCTCTCTCAAATGATAGGCATGAATACTCCAAGTAAGTCATATCCTAATCTAAAGATTCATCATTTATTTAGTAAATAGTTCATACAGATACATATTTAAATGATGGAAACATGCTGACTCCCCCCTAAAAAAATCAGTCACAACTGAGCGGTAGCTTTTTACAACCTAATGTTAATTATACTCATAATGATGTAACTGATCACTTTGCATTTTGTAGTGCCATCATCATGGATGATCCACAAACATTTTTTAAAATGAATTGTCAAGATGCAAAGGAAATCTTTAACCTGCCCCCAGAAAGCAACAGCTACTAAGTGAAGCACGGCAGCTGTGATACTGCCCAGGGAGCAAGGTCAGAAGTAAGGACTGCAATCACAAAAAATTAGCCAGGACAGCAGCAACAGGAAGATCAAGCTTCTGCACAATGGCAGTAATCTAACAACAAAGAACGGTCAAGAACTTTGTTCTTCGTATCTAAGTTCCAACATATTTTGCAATTCATACTGTCAGCCCAGTGCTGTGCAGTCTGCATGCTAACAGTGCTGCACACATCTGTACTAATGGATTATGTTTCTAAAACCCACACTGTGCTATGACTGTCAAGACAAGCAAGCAGCACCAGAGATAGGAATTTCATGATCTGACCTAATAAAGTGAGAAATATGTTGAAGGAGGCTGCATCAGAGAAGTAATACCTTAGTGCCCCATGGACCACAGCTCTCCAAAGCAATTAGAAAATATTGCTTCTCCCATATTTCACATTTATGCTAAGAAGTGATCAAAATTAACTCTGATTCTAAAGGAGACTAAAGATTCTAAAGGCATAAAGGAGACCTTTACAGATCTTACTGCTCAAAGGTATAAGTGCATTATTCTGAGTTAATACAATCCAACATATAGACAAAACACATCCCATTCTTGGCTTTTTTACTCCTCTCTCTCAAATTTCTACGTGTCGTCTTCTGCATTGCTTCACTGAATATCTCCCATTCACTCTGCAGCAACATTTTTATGTCATCACAGATTACAGGAACAAATGCCTGCTGAGTGTCGGTTCATTTGTGCCCTCACACAGCTCTCAACTTATAAAGATCAAACCTCTAGACCCATCAAAAAGGAGGAGGTGGAGAAAGGAAAAGTTATGCCTGAAGATGGACACGAAAGACAGAGACATCTGAGCTTGTGTCTCTGGCCTGAACAATTCTCATCTTACAGATGCTCTTGTCTGACTGACTGCAGGTTAACTGAGGCTCATATACATTTTTAGAGAAGTCACAAATGTGGCATACAGCCTTGAGATCACAGTTCTGCTGCTTCTACAGACACCTCAGGGTCATGGGCACCCTCAGGCACCACCGTGACAATAAGCATTGATGATCTTCAGATTACTCGGTGCAGAGCCACTTGTCTGGAGCTGATGAGGTCTGACAGACCTGAGCTATCTCTGCTCTGGGCTGTCTAGTGCATCCCACAGTAACTCATAATACATGTTTTCTTTCATCTCCCAGAACATCCACGCCCTACCCAGGCCCCCCCATTGCTCCAGACAACAGGAATCTGACTGGTCTAGTACTGCCAGCTGATGGGGAACATAGCCTTCTGCCTCCCTAGCCATGCTGATAGTCAATTAATTTCCTGTACAGACAAGGATGACCCCCACAGCACTATCAAACAAGCCAAAATACCAACAACAATTTCTTTTTTGCAATCTTGAAAGAGTTAACATGGTAACAGTAAAGGCCCAGGCACCAAGAGAGCTGAACCCTGATAAAAAGAGGCAATGGCAGACAGGCAGTGATGTTCTGAACAAGCAGTCTTGTACACTGCAGGGGAGCAGGATGAACACTGGACTGGAAGGGTCTGGCTGAATGGATGGGTACCTCTAACGTGTGTGGCATGGAAACTCACAGAGTTTCTAATGTGTTTGAGGCAATTACAGTTCCGTACCAAAGCAGTGCAGCAGAAAGCAACAGAAAGGTAACTATACAGCCTGGAAGCATCTGAATTAAATGAAGTGGACAAAGCTAGAGACAGATGAGAATTCTCTAAAAGACAGTGAATATAAAGTAGAAAGATCTTAGGGTAAGTGAAGTCAGAAAGGGAGGAAGGCAAGGGAAAAACCACACAACAAACCAGGGCACAAGATGTTCTGAAATAAAAAGAAATAAAAATATAAAATGGGATGCTGAACAACTTCCTCTGCTACTCTGTCATGCGTTTTCTTTGCAAGCATGAGGTCAGTCTCTCCTGAAGCTCAGCGTAAGGCTGATGAGTATGTGAGGATACAACCGAACTGCCTACTGGAGGTACAAACCCAGAGGACTGCACATCGATTTGCTCCTTATTTCTGGCAGTCCACTCCCCAGTGGAAAAAGAACAAAAACTCCAAAATGCAAGTCCACAATGAAGACAGAAACAGAAAATAGAGTCTAGAGCAGCTCCTCATGTAAGTATGCCCATAAGACAAAAAACATACAGCATTTGGAAGAGCCTGAAGTTAAGAGGTGAAGTACTAAGTCATTACTTCAGTTCATCAGAATTAAGGATAGTAAACTGGATAAATTTAGTCCCTTCTCAGTTGATCTCTGAAACAGCACAAGGTTATAGTCCTACTGGAGTTAAAAAGCACTCAAGAACTGGGGTCAGAAAAACTTGACAGTTTTTATCTTCCAAGATAAAAAGATTGGAGAACAGAACAGCTCAGAGAATCTGCCTGATGTTGTACACATGCTGTTAATTTGCATTTAATTTTGTACTCAGAGCTGTACCAGTCACTCCTGAAAGCATAAGGCAACAATTAATATTGAGACCATAAACAATCAGCACCGGCCATGCTGCAGCACCTGCTAGCACACAGCTATCCTGCCAGGCACTCTTCTCTGAAGTTATTTTCTTCCACTGTGGGAACAAATGTTTCAGTGTTCCCTGAGTTAAAATACGTATGGACAGTTGATTCATGGCAGGTGGCATCTCATTTTTCTAAGAATACTAAAGGTAATATATACCTGTTATTTTAACTTTGAACATGATTGGCTTTCAGCTTGGTTCCAACTTCTTATTTTTTACAGCTACAATCCCAAACAGCAGTGTATGAAACTGTTTGATTTCAAGGCATTAATTTAGGTATTTAAATAAAAATAACATCAACATGAAGAAACAAATTCCTGAGACCACAGAGCACCTTTATCTACCTCAGTAAAGAAAAAACCCTCTACAAGCCCTGAACTATAGAGCTTATCAATCTCAAAGCACTTCACTGACAGTAGGTGGTTGTACTCAATCTATAAGAAAAGCCAGGCCCAGCTAGGTGCAGGTAAATGAAAGGTGGAGCCAGGAATATCACACACGGTAACTTGGTTTTGGTGTTACCAACAGAAAACAAAGGCAGAACTGATTCAAGCACAAACATTAAACTGAAGTAAATTTTCAACTCTCCTTTTCCTTCTGAATCCCCAGACTTCCAGATCTGTAATAGGGAACGAAACTGCCTCATCAGGGGCCAGAGACTAGTATGAAAGCTAAGTCAGTGTATCATCATTATATGCTTAAAGTAGTGGAGAAACTGGTATGTACATTCTGCATGCATTTAAAAGAAAAAAAAATTTTAAAAAAGGATGACAACCAATCTTTTGTGAGGTAATACTCTATTTTTAAATGTCAGCTTTATCCATCTGAAAAAATATCACCTAGAGAAATAGTTGAACTTTTCTGTGAGTGACAGTGTGCTCTACTGAACCAGACAGAGGGTTTGATCTATGACTGAATTTACCTGGGCCAAGTTCATCCATAGGTATCATATCACGACTCCCAGATTTCTCGTTATCTATAAAACAGAAATATTGAAACAACTTGAGTCACATTTGCTTTTGTCATCACCTGGTAGTTTTAAACTAGTCACAGGACCAGAGAGGTCTGTAAAGTACTGAATGCAGAGATTATTGTAAAAAAACCCTGAATTATTCAGCTGTTATCCATTCATAAAGGGAAGTTTAAGCTCTCAGAGAACACGTTATATTTCCTGCTTTGGCACTGTAACACAGAGCTTTCTCTCCAAGTGGTAACAAACTGCAATTCTGCTTTGGACTACCTACTGCTATTAACATGCTTCTCTCTGGTCTCTCCAGAATAAAAACAAGTGAAGGTGCAGCTTCACATGGCACACAATCCGATTTCGCAGCTTACCGAGACAACAGAAACCTAACTCACAAAGAAAAGTAGTAGTTTATTGTCAGATCAGCAAACTGACCCGAGTCATCCTCTGCGTAATCTGCCACATTTGATCAAAGACAGGGCAGGTGGAAGCAGGCAAGGCAGTGTGGGGCTGCCTTTTCTGCAGTAATCTGCAGTTGAACCAGGTGAAGTGCAAGATGGCAAACTCTGCCATAGGAGACTAAAGATTTCTGAAAAGAAATTTTGACATCTGAGTGTTAGAAATTAGAACCAGATTTAGAGGCAAAGCCATCATATAATGAAACTAAACCTGGAGCTGCACCAGTGTTGGCATGGCTGTGTCAGGCCTGATGAACAAGCACAGACAGGTTTAGCTAGCGTTCGGATAAACCATTTCCAATGAAAAAAATCTGCACAGTAGAGGAAGAAGCACTGCCAAGCAGGCACGTTTATTCAGAAAGGAAAAGACTCCAGTACTGAGTAGGAGTAAGGCCAAGCCCACTGCCTGGCTCAAGGCTAGATTTATTAACATATAACAAACAGGGCTGTTCTCTTCTTCCAAAGTTCCAATTCATGTCTATCCCAAATTTTCTCAGGAAGATTTAACTGATTATGTTGCATACAAGTTGAGAAAATAACACAAGTAGTGTACATTTTGCAAAGGAAGGAATACTGTCCATATCCAGCTAATAGGAACTGTGGGGTAAAAAGTACCACCCACATAGGTAACACATTTTTACCCCCTCACTCCTGGCCCTATCACGTCTACAACACAGATGTGCCACATCCAGAAAACAAGCAAGCAAAGCACAACAGAAGTGATAAAGAGCAGAACTCTGACCTTGACTTTTATCCACCAGAGGCAAAGTGCTGTCATCGTAGCCAGACCTGCCAGCAGTACCTTTGGAACCCTTTGGAGTTGCAGAAACAGACTACGAGACAAAAATCACATAAATATGAGATTGCTACTCAGAGAAATTGAACAAGAAAAATAAACAAACCAACAGTATGGAGAGAGATTAGGGAATGCTCCTAAGCACCCCTTATGTTGATAATATGGCACTGGAGTATTTTTTATTTTCATACAGATTTGCTGATGGAATATTTTTCCTGTTATCTAAATGACAGCATTGTTGGTCTGTAAAAGGAGCACAACAACCTTTTCACCAGGAAGGATGAGGCTGCATATCAGGAGCAGGTGTCTGCCCTACACTGCTAGATGGAATGTTTCAAGTAAGAGACAACTGAGGAAAGACATGCTAATTCTTCCTCCAGTAAAGCACGGGCATTTGGCCTGTACAAGGTGGCATACTTCCAAAACCTGAAGAGTTACATTTCACAGACCACAGAAAAACATACCCAGCGAGCACATGCATGATGCTGTGACTGAAGAGACTACAATACATTGTTCTAACACCTAGAAGAACAGAACCAAAGCCCACAATCTGCCAGACTGCAGTATTACACTAAGTTAGGACACCTTCCACTCAGGCATTTCCATAACTATTAACTAAATCTAAGACTCATTATCTTTACCTGGAAGTGTGATTTGTTCCACCCATCCTTCTGCAGGGCATTTCGTAATTCTTTATAGCTCCAGATCATCTGAAGAACGTGAGATGCTGCTTTTGTTTCTCTGGGAGACTGGCTGATTTGCATGAACAAATTAGAGGTTAAGTACCAAGCAATATAAGACTATTCATATGTTGACTTCTTTGCACCAAAACAATATCCAGGAGATACCTAGTACTCCACACAGCTATTCTTTGAGCATATAAACTATAAGATATGTGATATCATTCAGTGACTTCTTCATATCTAGGGGTATTTGCTGAAAAAAAAAAAATCCAAACAAAAAGTTGTAAATTGTGAAAATTTCTGGGTTTTCATGTGTATTGCTGGGCAAGCACTGAGGCCAGGGTAACTCTTTTGTCTCAAAGCTGTCATTAACAACAGACATGGATTCCATCCTGCCTGGATTCATTTGGGGAAAAAAAAAAAAAAAATCCCAAATGAGGTTCTAAGCCACTTTTCAACCCTCCACCCCAACTTACAATTCCTCACAATTCAGTGAAGTTACTTCATGGTTTAGAATACCTTACAAAGCAACTTGAGGCAGCAAAAATTAAGCTATTTTAAATTGAAAATGAAGTTTTATCCATTCCTTACTAAGTCAGTACATAAGCACCTTCTATAAAATAATACTTGACTCTCATTTCATAACAATGCAACCCAAGTCTTCAGCTACTCTCCCAAAAGTTTGCTGAGAACACACCTATAATGAAGCTCATGTCTAACTGGCTAAACTATATGAAAAAACTTTTCTCTAAAGCAGTCAGAACGCAGTTTTCAACAGAACTGCAAAGTGAAAATTTGTCCCTTAAAATTACCACCACCACCAGCCCTTCAGCCAGAAGGATTACTGCACATCATTAACCATTTTACTTAAACGAAACAGATTTCATCACTGGCACTCCAGGAATGGAACACTGCCACAGGAAAAAAGCCTCCCACGCTAAAAATAAAGATCATGGTTTCACTGCAAATGATGTCTGCTAAATGCATACATGGTGCTAAGATGTATCTGGTAAGGAGAGAGCATGTCTTAACATGACTGAAGTGACTACTCAATTAATTTTGGGTTTTTTTAATCAAGTAAACCTCTTAAAGGTGCTGACTGGTTTTACTGCATACATATTAACTGTTCTGAAATTAAAGGCTCTGAGAGGTTAGGATGCTTAAATACTTTCACAGAGCAAAAGCTGCTGTTCGTAGTGACATTTTCATTTTGCAGTGAGCTCTTAGCATTTTGCTTTCAACTGTCACTTACCTTGACTTGCTGATAGCCACCAGCTTCTGAATGCCCTGTGTCTGGATCAGAGACCTTGCATTTTCTGAGCTGTCAGTAATGATTTCATGGATAGTATTCAACACTGCAACCACTGTATCCTCTTCCAGGTTCTTTGCAGATCTCTGCTGCCTAGTGGGCAAATTTCTTACCAGCTCACCCATGGCATAACTACCTAGATAAGGGGAAGAGGTACCATTAGTCAGCCCTAATAATCATTCCAGCTTCCTATCCTGAATGATAAAACTCAAGGGTGTTTGCCTCATCGAAAAACTTCATACTGCACGTGTTTTGAACCTCAAGACTGTAACTTAACAGTGTATTTATCATTCATTATTTCAAGGTGATTGAGAGTTGATACCCAAGACAAAGTCCTTCATCATGAATGCTAAAAGTATTGAGGGGAAAGAAAAAAAGCAGTCTTATTGAGAATTTTACAGCCAGCATCTATCATACTTTCCAATGCCTGAGGCAAAAAGCATCCAGTAGCTGTTGCTAATGCCACATATTCATGCTAATACACGCACATGGCTTACTCAACTTAGCCTTGTAATGGGCCTTCTGGGGCAAGGTGTGCAGCCATGCATTTATTAACCTTCCCCCAACAAAGGTAAGAGTATTTCCTCCTGGGTGCCGTTAGCCTTCTCAGTGTATAGTACTAGAGAAAAAACAAGGAGTCCAGGGTTTATCACTCCCCAGTGTCTGTCTGTGCCATTTGCCTAGCTACACCTCTGAACTATTAAAAAAAGAACCTGATGTATTAAGGCAGAATCTTGCTGTTTGTTACTAGCTACTTCCATGATGGCCCTAAACACATGACCCATATTTCCTGGCCTGACAAGGTTATATTTTAAATCAAATACATCAGTTAAATACAGAGGCATCCAGAGGAAAACAACTCACAGCTGAATTTTTCAAGATTCCTGCTTATGGGCAGGCGAATGCTTATTCACCCCCTTGGATAGGGGCTAGTGAACACTGCTGAAGAACTAACTTGAAAAGTAAGTTGTTTGGTGTCCAGCTTCTAGAAGTACCTACCACACAGAAGTATGAGAAGTGAAAGAGGCAGCAAGAAAAAAGGAACAACTTTAAAACCCACTCTGCTTCCCTAAGTTAGCTCTGCATGCTAAGGGCAAGACCCCCACTCTAATCTAAACAGCAGGCCTAAGGAGCAATGTCTCTGTAACCACCATGTGTGACTAGGAGCACAAGCGTCATGTCAGCCAGGGCTAAGGAAGAGACAAGAAACCTCTTAACACACGCAATCCTCTGCACACCTACACATGTTCCCCTTTCCTGGAAAAACCTACATTTGTTTTTTCACCCAAGTTAGAGATTTCCCTCAACTTGTGGCTTGTTTGAATAGGCTGAAAATACAGTCTGAGATGACAGGCCTCCACTTGATGGCTACAAAGTAATCTTAAATAGCACGGATGGAAACTGCATACAAAACAAATCCTCAGCACAAGTGACAGAAAACGTGAGGTCTCTCAAGGGTATCCAAGATCCCAGTCTGGTTAGAAAAGTTCAGAAGATACCTATAAGATCTTTATTGCGACGATCCATGGAAAGGTTTCTCAGGGCAATTGACACAGCCCTCACAACCTTGTCGGAGTCGGACTGGAGCAGCTCCACAAGCACTGGTAAACCTCTCTCCTTCCGCACTGTTGCACGGATGTACGTGGACCACTGATCAGAACACACAAGGGAAAAGAAACAACACAAAAGTATTGTGAGTTTATATACTTGCCCTTTCCTTGCCCCTTGGCACTTCTTTCAGTGCTGTAATTCATTTTTTCCCTGCAAAGACTAGTTAGGCTGTGTGTGCTGATGCATCTATAACCTAACCCATCATTCAAGTTCATCAAGCACCAAGGAAGAAAGGATGTAAAAGTTCATCCTATTGCTTAGCAAGCTGCTGGGGAAAGAGGACAGAAATAGAAGGAAGGAGCATCATCCACCAGTGTCTGTTCTGTACACACTTACTGTGAAAACACATTCCTCTGGATTAGGAAAAAGGAGGTCATTCGGAGGGAACAGTAAAGCATCCAAGGCATCTGTTATCTTCTCTCACCTCCAATTTAATGCTTTTATTTGTTTCATGATTGATTTTAAAATAAACTGTATTCAAGACAGCTATGAACCACCACCCTGCTGATCCTCAGTCTGCCGATCAGTCCCAATTTGCCACACAGTTCTGGAAGTGGTCAGGCATACCTTTGAGAGAACTGCCTGATTAGTGCTGGGGATGCTTCAGAGGGGATATCAGAGGACACTTTGGAGTGCAGTTTCCTAAGCAATCTGAGAACCCAATCAATTAAGTATTCAGGACACTTAATCATCTAACAACAGGCTTTTCTGAATGGACAAAGCAACGGTTAAGTGGTTTAAGTAGTAAAACCTGCTCATGGTTAAATCGTCATAAGCTCAGTGACACTTCCACTACATAAACACCATCTGTCCAGAAGATGCAAAACATCTTAAGTGGGTAAATAAGATGGAAATAATTTCTTCGGAATCCCCACATCCTTCATTTTTAAAGGAGATGTAAATGCACGAAGTAACAGCACACTTATAATGGCACATAGCTTTGTTCTTTACTTACACAAAGGAAACAAAAGAGACTAAAGAGAAGACTGCACTCACAGTCCAGTTGCCAGCACTGAGATTCTGCAAAGCCCCTGCCGCAGCTTCCAGAGTGTTGAAGTTCTGACTTTCAGTGAGGATGGAGAGGTACAGTCGGACCACATCTGGCTGGTACAGTAATTCAAAGCCTGCAGGTGGGGAAAGAGGAAAACAGGAGCAAGGGAAGCAGAGAAGACAATGTATGAATAAACACATAATGCACCTTAATTTAATCACGTAAGAGAACAGTCAAGAGAAAGCTACACCACAGAAGAAGGGCTTCTGCCACATCCAGGACATTTTATCCACAGTTGTTGAAAATGGTGCACATGGGAACTCATGCACAGGACATTCACCTGGGCTGAAGGTCCCTTTGCTTGTCTTCATGTTGACAATTCTTTCTGAAATCTGTGCTATGTTATATACTGCCTAGCAGGCTGATTATATGCATGTAATAACAAGGTGACAATAAACAATTTTTGTCTGCAACAATCCTTACTTTGCATCTCTAGACTGAGTTGCAAATTCACCTTGCACTCCTGTTTTCATTCAAATCTATCTCAGTATCTTTACAGACACAAACAGGGCCAAAAAGAGCAAGCAAGCCACACAACCATATCAGCTACCCCCTTCTTACACCTAGGTCACAAAACAAAGATGCAAGACATCAAAGTGACTAGGATCCCCAGTGGGAAGGGGAAGGGAGAAATGCTGACTCCAAACACTATAAAGAAATACACCAGCATCATATCACATTGGGAGACTGTGACAGACACATAGGTTAACTAAATATCCCCAGAGACACTGTATCAGCTTCACAGTTTAAGCCCGACAGGAAGGAGAACTATTCCCAGCTCTACCATGGATCTCCTTTTGTGATGCTAACTGACAGTAGCATCCATGTCTTGACTTGCTCACCCATAGAATTAGGATTTATCTATCTACCCACATTAAAAAGGGAGTCTTAGGCAAGAAGTCCATCATTTCAAGTTGTAGCATATTTTGAAGCAATTTTTATCTATCTTTCTTCACTAAGTGTGGCACGACACACTGCACTGATTAGGGAAGAGCATGCAAGCATCCCGTTAAAGGACTTGCCAGACAAACACGACCTCAAAGGTCGGGCTGCTGTTCAGATTATGTGAACAAAAAACTAAATCCTCTGAAGTGTTTTGGTAGGAAGGCACAAGCCACCTAGGGTCAACACAGACTCATCTGCAGTCACTGTGGCTTGAAGATATTTCTGGAATGGTGGCTCTTGGGGTATCTGCAGTAAGTTCAGCAGGCACTACCTACGAAAGGATTTCTGGAAAAACATGACAAAAGAAAGCATAAAGGTGCAAATGAGCTTGGGCAAATACGAAATCTGAAGCTTGTTTTGAGCAGAATTTTTTTTTTATTATTTGTACACATGAAAAGCGTGTTTTTCACATATCAAGATGCTGTCCTAGAAATACAGCATATTTCAAAGCAAGTTTTCCACTAGCAAGACAAGAAACCTACAAACACAAATTACTTCCTCTCTTCAGTACTTTCTCCTCACCCATCTCTCATATACATATTTTTCAGCACATATCACAGATTATAATATTTCAGGCATCTCAGATCAAACCTAGAAGCAAGAAAACTTAACAATGCTTTCCTATCCTGGATAGGATATCCTATCAATTTTTTCTTTCAAAAATTCTCTGTTGCTAAAGGCTTTCTGAAATTAAAGCCTTACTTCTCAAATCTAATTGTTTTTTTTATATTTTTCATACTTGTTATTGCTGTGGGGCTATGTGAGTCAAGGTCTCAGAACTAAATACTTTAAACCTTGTATAACACTACCCTTAAACAAGCTAACCCCCTGGATACCCCTGGGGCTTGTTTATGCCATTGAAAGCAAGAAAACACACTTCATCTGTTTCTTTGCTCCATACCAAAAACCCGATCTATGCATGGGGTCCATAAGCTCTCATGTGCTGGCTCATACTTTCCCTGCTCAGCTTCTCACAGGCATCCCAGCACACTTGCATTCTTCTCAAACGACTGGATAGTTAACCTGCTCCATGTCTGTGACTGGTTTTAATGCCACCACTTGCTTGCTACATGACACCCTACAGCTATGTGCAAGCTGCAACAGATGGCAATCCCCGAAGGCATCCTGTGAATCCATACCACTTACTTTCCTCTTCTCTAATGTCCTCTTCTTGCATTGGGATCACTGCCCTCTATATTGAATGCGGAGAAAAACTGTAGTTACTTAATACATGAAGCATGAACACTTGCATAGCTTTTCTCCATTCCTTGAATAAGTTTGTGATTATCTGACTCCAATATGACCTTCATATCACCTTTTTCCTCTGCCACTTCAGAAGGTGAATTGGCAATCTAAGAACTGCTCAAGAAAAAACACTGCTGCCTGATAATCGTACAGTATTCCTTTCCTCAACACTAATACTTGAAAAATCTCTTAGGATAGCTTACTGGAATTTTGACACTGTTATCTTTTAAGGAAGCTTTGCTGAAATGTAAATCAGATCAGCAGAAGACATGAAGGCAGGTTCATTAACAGATAATATTCATACAGAACATTTACTGCTTCTGTATCTGAGCTCAGACTTGCCTGTGGTTAAATAGTGTGCAATTGTTCAGCTAGTCTTCTCCTCCAGCTTTGTTTTAAAGTGCCTAGTTATAATTTTGGCATACTTGGAAACAGTCCCACGTGTTCACCCTCTCCTGTTATTCAAGTGCACTTTCTGACAGTCTGTACTTTCCTTTTTTGGCTGGACACTCTTCCTTCTTTGCGGCACCTCACTGTATAAATACCAAGATGGAACAACCCTCTCACCTCTGCTTACCTCCTGTGGACAGAGCTGCATTCCAGTCACGCACCTCCCACCCGCTTTCTGTCATTACTTCTCTTCATGCATGAAAGCCTCTCCTTTTTCCTCCTTACTAATGTAAGAGCATCTCAAAAATGTCTTCACCTTTTCTCTTCAATAATGTACAGCATTTCCTCTACCAATTACCAGCACATTCCTGCTTTGGGGCACAATCCCTTAGCCAGTTTGGTGAATGATTCCCACCTTACTCCACACATCCCCACTTTCCAACTATATTTATGCCTCTGTCTTATCAGCACCTGTTTTATACAGAGTTAGCAAGTGCTACACACCATATATGAAACTCTGTCCTCCCGGATGTCTCCCCTGCTCCCCTCAACTGCTGCATGAGCTCGATGATGCCAGAAAAAGGCAGGCAGGAGTTGCTAAAACAAAGTATTATGAATGCCCCTCATGGATGGCTGCTCATTAGCAGAGATGAGAACCTAATAGCAAGAAAGTTACTGCTGCACCGGAGGGTTTTTCCCTCATTGACAGCAAGCTGACACTTTTCATAAGCATTATAGTCCCTTAAAAGGAAACAAACAAGTTTTATATTTTCTCCATCTGCCTCCTGTCCTAATGAATCCAGCTCTGCTATTTATAGGATGCAATTTGTCTGAATTATTAAAAATTTCCTTCCAGTGTTGCGTGGAGGCCTTGCACATTTTTCCATGAAGCGCTTCAAGCACGTTCCTGGGAAGCACAGCTGGTCTCACCTCCATTAAGCACCTGCTTCTCTTCAAAACTGATTTCCTTAATTTCAAGATCATCTTAATTATTTTTTCAGGTAATGCTACTTTTGTGCAATACATGGCTAATTGCTTATATCCATTTTTTAAATGGAAAAGAGAAAAGAGGGTCATTAGCAATAGACAATACATCAAATGAGGAAAACATCCACTGCTTTTCTTTTTCTTTAAAAAGCTGTTTTAATTATAGCCCAGATCCAGCACTGGCCTTAAAAATATAATTTCTCCTGGAATAAATGAGACTTTTCCATTGGTTATGGATTTGTGCTAAGTTGCAATCTCTACACTGTTTCCTCCTACAAAAGCTCAGGGATAAGTCATTTATTGCTTTTATTCATTGCAGAAAGCAAACAAGTTCACTACATTAGCTTTTGCCTTTTAGAAAAACGGGAAAATGCCTCGGACACCAATGTCCTTGTGAGCATCAGGCATTTTGCAGCATCTAAGCATTAGCTGGGGGGAATGGTACAAATGTGTATACACAGGAAGATCTTCCACATTAGACTCATCTTCACCAACATGCTGTAGTCTCATCTTTCTGAAAAAAAGCAAGATGAGCTTCTTTGCAGCAGAGTTGCTCAAAATTGGTAAATGGATTAGTTCTGTGTGAAGTTCATGCTACCAGGAGGTGCCAAGTGGATTATCCTTTATTTGCCCGCAGAACAGTGACAGCACAGACAGCAATTTCAATCCTGAATAGAAAACACCTGAGGAATTAACTGGGTCTTATTAGCCATCTCAATCCATTCCACCCTCAGTCCCTATGCTGAGAATGATGCAGCAGTTCCTGGATTATCTCCTCCACAAACCTATTTGCTTTCATCTTGGCAATGCTGATCCTGTGCCTATACTTAGCTACATTCTGGCACTAACACAAAATACTGCACCAGGTGCCTATCTCTGATACGCCAGCTTAATCCCAAATTCGGACAACTCTCTTTGGAGCAAGGTTGCCAGATCTGATCCCCTTCACCACCCATTCCATTCAAGATTTATTCTCCTCCTACAGGCATGGGAAATTACATACATGTGGATACTGGTCAGATGAGGGTTCTCCTACTGCTGTAGCAGAAACGTGCTGCTTCATTTTCTATCCATACAAAAACTCTGCGTTGCTGTTTAAAATGAGAGGCAAACTTCATATGAAGCTGGAAGGATGCTGGCAACACTGTAGGAAAATTGAAAAAAACCCCCACCCTCAAACACTAAAATGAACTCTGAGAGCTACCGGTTCTTGCAGTATTCCTAGACATGTTTACATTAGTGTTTCAGACCATTTTTGAAGCAAATTTCCTACTTAACACTTTGGTTCCCAACACAGAACTTGCAGCACTACCTGGACTCCTGAGATGGCACTGAACCAAGAGATGCACTCCAGGACCGCACCGAGCATGTGCCGACCAGGAATGGGGAAGTTCAAGGGCTGATCTGCTTGTCCTGAGCCACATCCACTGTGCTGGCCAATTCCAAGCACAAGATGTGGCAGCTACCGGCAGATGGAGCGAGAGGAGCCCAAACTGCAACTTCTCT